AATAGCATAATGTAATTGACAGTCAACATATGGCATCTATTACATTTGATGAAACAGGATGTCAGAAAATAACAGGTAACAACATTATCCTTTAAGCCCCATTTATTCTTAATTTATATTTTGCAAGTAATAAAAAACGGGAGTTATCAGAAGGGTGCGTGTATCACTATAATGCTGGAATAGTTATGATGATGAAGGAAAAGATGCATAGGCAAAATAAATTTAACGCAGACGAGTTGATGTTGCTAAGGACGAGAATAAGATATTCCATGCTAGGGTGGTCTATGACAGAGCCCAAACAAAGTAAGCAAATAGGTCGGGACTGCATATACAAGCAAAAGTTAGTGAGTGGTAAATCGCGGTATGTAATCAAATTTCTGTCGAAATAAAACAAAATTACTCAGGATTAAAGAAGAGCATATCATAATTGGCAGATAGATACCTATAGTACAAGATTTGATATAAAGATAATAGAAAAAATAGAAGTTCTAGGCCATCTAAGCTATGGGCTAAGAGCAAACGAGGCCGACACAAAAAATGAGAAGTACCTAAAAGTAATAAAAACATGCAATTAAAATATATAGTAGGAAAGACCCTAATATACCTCTCTTGTTAATTTTAATTGCCCCTTATCGAGGGTTAATTTAAACCAATAATTTGGATTAAATTCTTCAGAAATATATAACAATAAGCTTAAATTATCTAGACGTCAATAAAATAAAAGTATAATTATTTTCTAACTTTCGTTGCTAAGGGGGAGTAGTGCAAAATAAATTAGAAATTTTAAAAATCATAAAATGATTAGAATTGTGTTGGTAACGCTACTTTAAAAGTTACCTTATCAAAAAACATAACTAGTTACCTATACCTAGCATAGTTATTTAACTTAAAATCTAACAAGTTATATTGACTTAAATCTAATAGTTATAGTATAGTCACCTTGTTTGTTTTCAAAATATTATGATAGTTATATGACTCAGGGGTCTATTGACAAAATTATCAGGCCCTGTCCGTTCCTTTAGGAAATTAGTTTTTTCGGCTTAGAAATGTTTTTGCCCAACCCGGTTCATTTTTAATTTTTTACTAAGATACCCCGGTCCGGATTTTAATTTTTTTTAAATACAAGGCCTGAACCAAAATGAATGCTGTTGAACACTAAAATAAAGAGCTATTTATAATCTAGGGTATGGGTTAAACTAAGAACACAATACTTTATGGATTATCACTTTTATGAAATATTAGAATCCAACAAATATATATACAAAGTTAAAGTTTTTTTTTTGACAAATTTTAAAAAATATTTAGACGTTATCCAGTCCGGCTTTAGCAAAGGGCCCGGTCAGATATGAAGATAATGACTTATTTACGCAGATTTAGGGAAAAAATTATTTATTGCATGTATCGGAAGAGTTTGGCAAATTAATGGCTATGCGTCATAGACCAAGGTTTTTGTATGATCTTTAAAATTTAAAACATCGACAACGCACGTTTTTTAATTTTTTTAAAGACCATATTTTGCTGAAATCGTATTCCATCCAACATGTATGTGCTTACCATGAACATTCCAGAAATATTTACCATGTATTTTTCTATATTTTATAATAAAACTAAATATATAAATTAATTGGTTCTAAGGTTTATGACAGCATTCTTTTATATTTACAGGGTAGGTATTTGTGGTAGAATATAATTATAGCATATAAGAACCGCCAGCTTTAAATTATTTAAAATTTCAAGATTTACTAAAATCACAGATTTGCTAAACTCCTCGACCGATATATTTATAATTTATCATATATGAACCAATAATTATATATATTATAAAGTTTTATAGATGATATTTTACACCCTATGTATATATACTATTTTGTGTTAAATGTGGTAATTAATACAAGAAGTGTGATAAATTTAAATCTAGATTAAATTTTTCTTTTAAAATTACTTATCTTAAATTGCTAAGCTGTTTATTAAAATTTAAACAATACCATCACAAATTAAGCGATACGTGATAAAATCTATGGCCATCTAATGTTGAAGATATAATATAGTTATGCTAGGTATAGCTTCCTCATCTGTTGGTATATAAAAAAATACATTATGAGAGGATCCCCCGCAAGTGGCAGGCTGCACGCACATAGCGGGAAAGATTTACAGGCATCATTTATGTTAAGCTTCAAAAATAAAATTAACATATTTTTAAATATAATCTAACTTCTTTTTTAAAATACATTATAAAAAAAGTTAAAATGTAAGTGGTTATACATTTATAAAATATACTAGTTACAGGTTTAAGTTATTTTTTCAAAATGTAATTATTAACTATAGTTTCTTAAAAAAGATAACTAGTTGCAATAACAAAACTCAGACCTTTTATATCTAATATAGAATAACGATATATCGTCAATGGTAATCTTTAGCATTAAATATTGTCTATAAACTTTGTAAACGGTAATATATAAAGAGAAAAGCATGCAAATGTATTTTGTAATTTTACATTAAAAAATATGAATGGGGGCAGCGTCTTCATAGCAGAAAATTTGATGGAGGCAAACCCCCTCCAAAATCTACCCATACCCACCTTAAAAAATAACGCGCCCTTCGTCCGCGAAATTTACAGACCTACGATGTTATAGTGATTTTATTTAAAAAATCTTATAATAAGCCACCATTTATAACCTTACAACATAATTCTATTTATAATCTTTCAAGCCTATTTAGGGAAAAAAAAATTTTTTAAATTTGTAGATGGTAATCAACTTATATTTAAATAATGCAATCTTTTCATAATTTGATTGATATTCACTTTATTTTCATAAAATATATATAAGTGAATTAAATGAGACAACATATTAATATTTCTATAAAAAAGATCTGAAATATTGTAAAATATAAGACGAGTAATTTTAAAGAGGTATATCTAGCTTGATTCCACATACCTATATTACCTTTTTATTAATTAAAAACATATAATGTAAATAGAGTTATTATATAAAATATTAGAATAAAATGAATTATAGTGTATTTTGCATAGAAATTATAAAATGTTAAATTAAATTTACATTTTTTAAAAGCGTAATATATTCGCTGTGAAAAAGATACATTACTTATTTTATTAATAATTTAGATAACCTTATAGATGTTAATGCAAATTGTGTTATAATATCATCAATTATAAATTTTTCAAAAACATCAATTTCGCTGGATATTAACAGTAAATTTTTCAAAAACATCAATTTCGCTGGATATTAACAGTAAATTTTCTAAAAATAGGTCCGAAATTTTATTCCGCATTCCAGTTTTGTTTATTTTTACTATACTCACGGCTCTTTTGGATGAATAGGAAGTTGTAGGAAGGGTTAATAAATATTTATATAAATTTAAATTAGAATTAGAATAAGAATTTAATTGATTTAAAAGTCGGTATGGTAATATAAAAGAATATTTTATCCATTTTTTTATTTTGGTCATGATTTCGCTATTGATTTTTTATTCGGCAGGTTGATCGTTTCCAATACCTTTAATTATATACAATTACAAATAAAATATCAATAAATTACTTTCATCAATATATAAGGCGTCATTCTTTTTAACTTTCAAAAGATCTTCGCAAAAAATGATTGATTGAGACTCCAAATATAAAGAGCGAAAATCATTATATTCATCAACAATGTTTTGGACATCCAATTGATAAGTATGACAAATTTCGGATATTTGCCATCCTTCTATTTTTTCATTATCCATAATTCTAGCGGGAGTAAAAATGGATATTTGTGATAAAAAATTTAAACAATCATAATTAAATCGATCATTTAGGTGGTTAATTATTGCATCTAGCACAGGGAAAAATATTTCCGTTTTTTATCTATAAGAATAAATAATAATTTAAAATTTTTAATTTATTCAACGTGTTTTTATTGTTCAACATAATTATTGAATTCTGTTTGATCCAATTTGAATATTGATTTCATATTATACAAATCAGTTATTACATTATTCTTCTTCAAAAAACTAGTAGATAGGAATGTAATTTAAAAAAAATATTGTCTCCATTAGCTATATTTTAAAATTATTTATAGAAATGGTAACTAATATTAACCTTTTAGTCTTTGTAATTTATTTTTTGTATGTTGTATTAATTTGTTTACCATAGCCAAATCATTACCAACTGCCTGCATTTCAATACAAGCGTCATGTGTACATTACAATATTTCTTTCAAAATAAATAGACTTAATATATCCATCCTTACTTCTAGATAATAATCGATCGGCAATGGAAGAACTTGAAAGATTCATAGGCATAATAGATGCAGATTAATATAAAACTGCGATCACATGAAGAAATCATAAAAGATATTATAATGACTGTAAAAACAATTGTAATCTTATAAATAAAAATTAGTATAAATAAAATTGTGAAATTCATTATGAAAGTATATTATCTAAAGAAATTCTAATAGCTAAATAAACAATGATAATAATATAAACATATCTATTACATAATGTAAATAAAGGGGATGAAAACACATATAACATTTTGAAAATAGTTGAATCCAATTCATATTTTAAGGATAAAATTTAGGTATCGTCCCTCTAATTCGTATGAAAATTTAGGAAATAGGTTTTTTGTCGTATTGCAATAGTTCGTTCCCAAAAAAAAGCCAATTTGCAATAGTTCGTTCCCAAATTAGTTTGTTCCCAAAATAATTATGAAAATCCAAGATATTAAAGCTAAATCGCAACAATTATCAATAAGAAAATTGGAAATTAAAGTATATATTATTTAATTTGCATATAATAATTAATTTTTTTAGAAAATATAGTTTTATTAAGTCAAAATACAGCAATAATATTATCTATTCTAACAAATTCAATTTATATATTATCATGCAAAAAAAAGAGATTGCATTTTTATATACATCACCATAAAACATTTAGAAACTTGCAAACCAATCCTAAGTAAATAATTTTGATTAATATTTAATCTTAAATTATATCCTTAGAATGCCAAAGTAAAATGTCAAATTAATATTTACAATAATTTTTCAAAGCTATTAATTTACAAGGTCCAGTTTTGGATAACACAAATAGTCCAAGTAAATTTTAATTATATTGGTATAACTATTTTTTAACAAAGTTATGAACCAAGAAGTTTTGTAGGAAATAGATGCCCATAACAGAAATACCATTACTCCAAGTAAATAGTAACTTTTAGATATTTATATCATTTTTAAACAAAGCTATTATTCAAAACAATTTTAGCAATCAAATGGTTCAATATAGCTTGATTAAATCAAAATACAACAAAAATATTATCTATTCTAACAAATATTTAATTCAATTTATACATTATCATGCAAAAAAAAAGGAGATTGCATTTTTATATATTAATTTAAATTTTTATTATGAGATATTTGATAAATTTTATTAATATTATATCAAAGATATATTTATAATACAATAGTATTAAGAGTTTGCTAAAATATTGTAAATTATCTGCAATTTATTCTTTAGTATATACTGGCCTTGTATTAATATAAATATTAATTACCATTTAGCTATTTAAATTTAATATAAAATAAAAAGCATTTTTTAATTTATTTGTCAAATCTGTTACAACGTTTTAAAATTATACAAATATTATAATCGCTTCAAAAATATTTGTGGCCATTTTAGGTCATTTGACGTTTTTTCATAAATGTTCATACGATTTAGTGGACCCTAACCAAAATTTATATAAAAAAAAAGTAAAAGAAGACATCTTAATTGAATTAAAGATGAAAAGATTTAAATTTAAAAATTCTTAAAAATTAACATTACCTTACATTTATTATTTTACTACATTATATTAACTTAATAAGTTTTTTAATACTTTGGTTTTAAATTATTATTATTAATTAAACTATTAAACATATTGTTAAATTGAACTTTATAAAGTATATATAGATATAAAAATAGTGTGATAAACAGTTTATATAATTTATTTTCTCTATACCCTGCCTACTATAATTTTATTTTAATATATTGGTAAAATTTTTAATAAAAAATTAGTTTCTATTAATTCACAAATTTAAGATATATTTTCAATAATATTTATTGTCTTTAGTTACAATAATAAATTAAAAATATTACTTCTCGGAAGTAAGATGTTATTGTATTTTTTTACAACTGGATTTCAAGTCCATTTGTTATATTATATGGAATATCACAATTTGGGGATACCCAATTACTACTATCTCTTTTGATGGCTACCTTTGTAAATTTCATATCAGCTGACTTTACATGAGGATGTTTATAATGTTCATGTATCTTGTCACTTCTTATTTTAGAAGTTTTACAATTAATATAATCACATTTCACTTTAAATAAGGTTCTGCTACTTGGCATCTAAAATGAAATAATTAATTATTTTTTACATATTTTATTTTTTATTATTCTTTGCTTGTTGATATATGTTTTTAAGCATGACTAAAAAAATTACCTCCAAAATTTATCCTGCTAAAAAAATCTATAAATTTATTAAAAAACATAATATAAATATATTAACCTCTAAGAAAAGTACCATATATGAAATGTGTAAATATTAACTTGATAAAATGGTAAATAAAATGGTTCATAAAGAAAGTTTATATTATTTATTAATTGAAAAATATCTTTACTTTAATTGACATTTGTCAGAAAATCAACGATAACCATCATAATTGTATCAATTAATGGATTTAAAAAGATTATAATTCAAATCAAAAATTACCCCCCAAAAATCAATACCTACCCCCAAAAAATTAATGCCTACCCCCAAAAAATCAATATCAACCCCCAAAAATCAATACCTACCCCCAAAAATGCCAAAATATTTTGGAGGCATTTGTCTCCTACACTCCCCGGCCATGTAGACGCTGAGTGGGGGAAGCAAATAAAAGAACGTTTATTTAAAAAAATTTTCTTTTTAATAAAAAATTTCTTCTTTTTGAGAGTTCTAGAATGAACTAAAGAAGAGATAGGTGTTGGGATCATGGCTGCTACAGTCAGAATCAAATTGCATTCGTAATTTTTCTAACGACAAATATGAGTGGTCGTTGGATGTTAATTTTCTAACTTTCTATTTTGTATGCATATCTACCCCAAAGAAAAAGTATGATAGAAAAGACAGTTAAATGGCATGAAAAATAAACCGCTGACTTGCAGTAGAATATTCAAATAAAAACATTGACAAAAATCGAATTGAAAATATAATAGAATTCTCAAAATAGCAATCAAAATTTTACCTAAAACAAAGATGAATTCCGTTTATTTATAAATCTCGCTTAAGTTAATAGATACTAAGATGAAAATTAAAAAAAAAAATTAAAGTTTAGAGAAATAAAATAAGTACCAAAACAAAAATAAGATAAAACGATTTCAACATGACCTGTAAAAATTCGTTCGATATTATATGACTAAGTTCCCATTTTTGTGGGATTGTTTTAACAATTTATGCTACATACTTGAGAACTCATAGGCGTAGCCAAAATAATAAGGGGGGGGGGAGGTATTAAGTTGATTGTTTCCACAAAAATATTATTAGAGGTCTTTATGTGTACATATATGTACATTTTTTAAAGAATAATTGATTTTGCACTTTTTAAATTATAAAAGTGTTTATTTTCAAAATATTTTGTATTATAGTCATTATTTTTAAAAAATATTTAACCTTGATTTATTTTACTTTCAATTCATTGTTTATACGGTTCCTCTCCTAATTCGCGAAGAAAGAAACAGCGAAAAATGGGAATCTCGCTTATATCTCAGAAGAAAGTTCTTTAAGTAAATTTGAATTAATTTTAATAGATAAGAGGGAAGTAAACACAACTATTTTAATAAAATTTTTAAAAAAATTCTAAAAAGAGAGGAAATATTATCTTTTCTCCTAATTTTATTCTCACTTTATTATAAAATTGGGGGGGGGGGCGAATTGGAAAGCAAAAATGATATTTCGTCCATTTTTAGAGTTCAATTTAAATAGATGTGTTTTCCTTTATCAATTAATATCAATTTCTAATTTAATAATTCTCTAAAAGATATAAGCAAGATTCCCAAATTTACGCTGCTTCGTTTATCGTGCTCTGCTCATACCGTTTATACTGATTACATCCTTGGGGGAGGGCAAATGGGAGTGTAAGAGATCTAAAAAATTATTTTAAAATGATATTTACGAGAACAGGCAAGGGGGGATTCTTTTCCTCTCTCATGGCTATGCCTATGTAAGAAGTAGATATTTAAAAGAATTGAATGATTGACATTTGATATATGCATATATAACCATTTTTTACACATGTTTGCATAAATATAAAAATGTTTTATTGGGTATTGATTGAACTATTTCTAATATTATATTTAGTTTTCAACCATATTTATAGCCTAAATAATGGGCTGGCATTAACCCCTCCAATGGGTTGGATGTCTTGGGGCTATTTTATGTGCAACATATCATGTCGTGATAACTCCAACAAAGATCAAAAATGCATAAAGTATATCATTTTTTAATTCTTGACTTAGTTAGATTTAAATATTCGCTATGCTACATATTAGATGCTTTAGATTTTAATTTTCTTTGCCTAGAGCTTAAATAGATTAGGGGGGGGGGGGATTTAAAGAGCCACAGAATTTATTTTCCATCTGGGCCAGCAAATAACATGATTCTCCTTTAATCTATAATAATAGTAGACTTTTTTATGACATTTTTTAAATTTGATTTCACATGCTATATAAGATTTTTGTAGCTAAATAAAATTAGCTTCCAGGAATTCTCTTTTGTGCACTATATTTTGAAAAAAGGATATTTTTTATACCAGTTAATCAAATAGGTCTTGTACTACTCATTTTTTTTTACGGATAAATGCTTTATTTTTACACCATTATATGCATAAGTTTAGATAAATTGGTATATAAAGTTTAAGATATAGTCTTAGATAGCACTATGAAAGGAAAACTTATTGGTGCAAGTTTCTATACCAATGGACTCTAAATTTTCAAATCTTACAAGTTCAAATTCCCAACTTAGAATTTGATTGGTTGTTTTTGATACAATTTAAATGATTGTCCTCTATACCCATAAATAGTGTTGTCAAAAACTTTGATTTAGCATATTTTTTAAAAATGGATAAATCGAAATTCTTCCGGCAAAATATAGAGGGTTAAGTAATCATTTTTTTAAAATTAACTAAATCAAGGTTTTCAACAACATTACTTAAATATAAAAATCATCCTGTGTTACTTAACATAACTTATGGGATTGAATTAATATGGTTAAATTATAAGCTCATATTTTAATACTAAATATTGTGTGTCTATTTTATTTAACATTTTGAATAATATTTAGATGTCAAATACCATCCCTGCAAAGAAATTAAAATTTTTACCTAAAACAACTGGGGTATTTTTGATATACCTTTCTCAAATGATGGTTCTCTATGATCATTTGTTAATATCATTGTCACTTTGTACACAGTTATTGATGAAAACAGTTAAGCTATAGCTTTATTTAACTAAGCAGTAGACAAAAAAAAATGATCATTAAATTTTTTTTAAGCCATTAAAATTCCCAGACTATTTTTTCTGCAAATAATTTTTGAAAGAAAATTAATCAGAATAATATAAATTATTTAACATTTATATAATATAATAAACTTTTAAAAAATGTTCAGTATTTATTAATATTTATCAATATATGAGGGTTGTTAAGAAGCCTGATTCTGGTTGATTTTTAAAAATGACCTGATTAAAATTTTAACCAAAATAATATTATGTAAGTCTTGAGATTTGGCATATAGAGATCCAAACATTTCAGTCATCTATGAGCAAAATCTCCAGGCTTACAGAATATTATTTTAGATAGAATCTTAATCAGGTTGTTTTTAAAAATCGACCCAAATCTGGCTTTTTAACAACCCTAAATATTATAATAAGAGACCTGCAAAATCGATTTTTTTTGGTCAGAGCTTGCCCACGGCCTCATAAAAAATTTTCTTTAGATCTAGGCCCACTTGAGCTTGCAGTCCAAATTAAAATCGCTTATAGAAGCAGGGTGTTAGGAAACAATAATGACTTGATATCAAATTTGATAATTATTAAAATGCATTACCTATTAATCACCTGACATTATACTAAACCTATATTATTTTTATTTTAGTTTAACAAGTGAAAATTGTTTAGTGGCCTTTTTTTTATCAATTTAATCTAATATTGGTAACATAAATTAACCATACCCAAATAGTTATATAATTAATATTTCTTTTTAAATGTAAATGTCAACATTGACAATATAAAATTTTGTCATTAAAATATTTTAAAAGATAAAATAATTTTTCAGCTTTTTCTTTTTTAAACTAATTTTGAAATTTTGTTTGTATAGGACAAAAGAGGAAATCTTTCTTGTTGATTAGGATTATTTATGTAATATTATTAACAAATATTTTATGATCTCCACCACTCAGATTGGAGATTTTATTTTATATGCAAGGCGAAAATATTATTTACTAAACGTTTCGTTTGATTCAAGGTGCACTGGTCAATTGACTGAAAGTATATTTGACCGGTCAAATACTTTAAAATGTTATATCTTTAACGAAGTTATTTAATTTACATGTATTCATTAATAAAAATAAATTTTTTTAAAAGTAAGCGCATTATTTTCCCACTACAGAAATCATCATGTCATAACATCAACATTAAATAAAATTCGATTAACGAGGTGAGCTTCTTCAATAAAATGCATGCAACAAATACAAATTTGCAAAAGAGCTTTAAAAGCGTCCGCTTTGAAGAGACTGTGATATGCCCAAGAGAAATGAGTGATCATATCTTAGACGATAAACAATTTTGGATAAAAAAAATTATAGTTTTTTAAACAGCTAGCTATCTTTTTGTTGAGAATACAAGGGGCCAAATAGTGTTTGCAACGGTCCGGTTTCGTCCGGTCTTTTTTTCGAAAATGAGACTAATCCGATGGACCGTTAAGTCAAGTGAGACCAGACCGTGGGACCGTCGGTCCAGTCCGGTCCCGTCTAAAAAAGGTTTTTTTTGATAACCTATAAAAGTTTTATTCTGCATGAAATTTATTAAAAATGAGATGTGTTAAATTACTAATATTTTATTTATATCATCAGATCATTTTTTATTATATTATTTATACAAAAAGATTAAACCAATACAAATTTATTGAATATAATTTAAATCAATTTGATTAACATATTTAATTAGTTTGTTTTTTAATGTGATAGATATTTGGTTATAAAATATTACTGATTTATAAATAAATATTATAATTATCTTCTAAAAAATCAAAAATTATTCCATTTTTTACCCATCCAATACCAATACAATATTTCGTTAATCTTGGGTTTTTATTTTTCACAGCCTTAACCATTATAAGTAGATTTATTTGATGATATTTTTATTCATTTATTTTAAATTTTGAACTTTAATTTGATATATATGGATAATTTATTTGTATTTGAAGAATATCTGGAGACATATTTTACATGTTTTCCCCGAATTATCCTTCAAAAAATTTATATAATTCTTTAACATATTTCCAAATTTGAATTTGATCGATTTTTTTTATTTGCACTACTATCACTATTTTCCAGAGTTGTTAAAGGATCTAGATACAAGTTTCTAGATCCTGTATCTAGATATAAAAATGTGGTATCTGTATCTAGATCCATTTAAAAAGTATCTTTTAACAACTCTGCTATTTTCTAAATCAATAGTTATTATTTGGCTGAGGGTGGTGATTCAATAATATTATCAACTTCTATGATTTCCATTTCTAATAAATTAAATTACTTGACGAATGAATGAAACGGAAGAATTAAAAAGTAAACAATGATGAGATATTATAAAGTGTTAGGCATTAATAATCATATTTTATGTGTTCATGAACATGTACATCAACTAAAAAGTAATTCATAGTAAACTTTTATCATTTTTAATTTGCCTTCGGTTGGACCATACCATTGGACCGTGTTGTTAGATCGGACCATTTAGTCGGACCCAATAGTCAGATGAGACCAAACTGGGCCGGACCGGATCACTGCAAACACTAAGGCCAAATGCACTCTACCCAAGTAAAGAATGAGATGTTATCTTTAGAACAACATATTATTCAATCAAGCCAAGAAGAATGAATATTTTCTCACTTAGAAGGGAAAAAATTTATAAATATATTTGGATCTAAATACAAGTGTTCATAATGCTGTCTATTTATTAGATACACAATATCAAGACATCTCACGAAAAATGAATCGTAGAAGCTCATTATAATAAAAGAACTAGGAATTCTACAAAGTGGATAATCAAACCATCTTAGGCGATATAATAACTTTTAACTGTAAACGCGGTATTTTTGATAAACAAAATACGGGGAATGTCGTAGAATTTATAACCATTGATTAGATCTGGCATCAAGCTGGTATAAGAAACCATTTCCACCTTGCCCTTTAATGGAAATATCAAATACCTTATTATCCGTTCCAGGTTCAACTTATTCTTCCGAAAGTAATTAGCCCTTTTGCTTAATATTCATTCAAAGAATTGTGTGAAAACCATGACTATGGGAAAAATTAGTTAGCGCTTATCATAACTTACGATTAAAAGAATATTAAGTTGAACCAGAAAACGACTATTCAGTTGAACCAGAAAACGACGCTGTCACAGAAAGTCAAGATTTAACAATATTTCTAGAATGAATCGAAATATTAAAATTTAATATATGCATTTATTTTGTGTATTTGTTAATACATATACCTAATTAAGTGAATACTGTCATAAAATCATTTAATTGAATTTGACCAGTTAAATATCGGTTAATCGAATCGTATTTAAACGGTCAAATACCCAACCCTGGTTTGATTTGGTATTTAATCATTAAAGTAAGGTTTGCTCATCACTGTTTAACACAATTTGATATGTTTGATGATTGTTACTACAATACAAAACGATTTTTTGTTCTAAATTAGTATCTTAAAAAGATCTTTAGAGACAGATATTTATAACATTTTGGTAAATTTTTTCATTTCTTCATAAATTTTACAGAATTCATTACCATCGAATTAAATATGCTTAAATACTATCTTTTTAAGTTGTTTTCTGTCAAACCGCACTTGGATCCTTTTTTAATGGAGAAAAAGAATTAATTTTAAAATATTTAAATTTGCTCCACTTTTTCTTTACTATATTATCATTCAACATGTTTTATGCATTGTCCCTAATTACGCTTATAACTACGATTCTTTTTTTTTATAAGACCTAACTTTTCACATTGTAAAAATTTTATAAAAATTTTTACCTTTTTATGTTTTTAAAATTATTATTTCTTTCTTCCTTCCTTCATTACTTTCATTTTATTCTATATTTCAAAATTTAGCAATAATTATGATAATTTAATGATGTTTTATTCGGTTATTACAAAATATCATAGTTATTAAACTATATGTATTTCTAGATACAAAAATGATCTGTAGCAGATTCATTTTAGACGATGTATCTATTCAAGATCCATTTGAGAAATATCTTTTAACAACTCTGCAAAATATGATATGAAAATGGACCTTAAGATATTTCCCAACTCCTGACTTTTTTTAGATTTTGCTTAATTGTAATATTCAATCACGCATGGCCAAGGGCTGGGACAGGCCTATATTTTATTGACGAACTTACCCCCAGTCCATGAGCCGGGCTAATGCTGGGCTCTTATGAGGATACATTAAGTAGTATTTTAATTAAAATGTATTTCTTTAACTCTAAAAATTAAAATAAGTTGTTATTTTTAGTTTTAATACTTACGTCACCTTGCACGTAATTGACATCCATAATTCTGTCAAACATAGTTCAAATCAAGGTTTTACTCGCAAACCACAATTACATGATACTATTCATAAAGACGCATTTTATAAAATGTATATTTGCCTAAAGTCTAGACTTTTTCTATTGGATTTAAATCGAGGCTCATTCACAGTTACCTCGAATTCGCAGCGATGTAAACAAAAATACAGCATATTTAGCATATTTCGCCATGAATTCGTGCTACCTATGAATACAAGGTAATGTAGTCTCCCATCCAGTAAAACTAGAGTTTAAAAAAATTCTTGGTCATAAAAATGTGTGACATGACGCATTGTCTTTAAAAAAATCCATTTGCGGAAACGGGAACTAACTATTCGCTCTTTCTTTCTCATATTTGAGTTAATTCACATTTCTTCAGCAAAACACATATTTCCTAGACTTTCCCGCCATACAACTCCTCAACATAACCCATTTTGAGGATTTTGAGAGTTCAGACAGTCAGATTTAAAGATTTATCTGGAATACGTATCGTAAAATTCTTCATATTTGAGTACTCATGCTCAAATCTGCTTTCATATGAGTAAAAATTATCACCATCTATTTAAACTAATCCCATGACTGGTGTTCTTTCGCACATTTAGTTTTTGCTTTTGCTAATATGCCAAAAAAAGAAGCCTTAAAAATGGGAATTATATAAAGAATTTTTTAATATTAAAGGTACCTTTTAAAATCAATAAAATAGATCTTTCTATTGCGTTACTAATAAAATTATACTTTTCGAGCGATTAATTTTATTTGGATATGATATGACTGGTGGCATGAATGTCTATTTTTCATAATTATTCTCTCAAATCTCTTGGAGTTGTGACATTACTAAACCTCATTTTCGCTGAGAATTTTTAGATAGAAATATTTTTGGATCTCTTAAATCTTTAGCAAATCCGAGGATTTGGAATTTTTGATTCTTAGGAGTTGGATAACGTCACGTAATCAATCAATAAAATGAATACCACCCCTGATATTTTGGGTAATAAGGCCTTGTCTCCTTTCTTGCTAATAAAAAACCGACATCCAAATTCACGTTCTTTCATTTCAGTACAGGGCTTAGACCAACGTGCTTTCATTTCAGTACAGGACTTAGACCAACGTGCTTTCATTTCAGGACGGGGCGTAGACCAACTTGATAAATGAATGAAAGAATAAAATATATATAAATTTACAATAATAGCAGACTAATATTAAAACATGAAAATAGTGATATATAAGTAGTGTTATTAAATGGCTCGATTTGAGTCGATTTATAAAAAGGGCCAACTAAATATTTTAGCCAGAGAGATATTACCTAAGCCTCTAAATTTCATTAATAGATGTCCAAACCTTTATGCCATCTATGAGCAAATTGTCAGGCTTGCTTAATATTTTTAATCGGACTCAAATCGAACTTTCTAGCAACACTAGATACACGCCTTTATACTTTACCCTCAAGGTAAAATTAGCGCCTTTAAGTTATTAGTAGGGGTGGGACCAATACCAATATAATATTGGTTTACAATACCAATACCAATATAAACCAATATATATTTAAATATTGGTATTGCTTTTACAACCAATACCAATTACCTAACTATATTGGTTTTGATATATTGTTTAAATACAATTTTAACCAATACCAATACCAATATTAAAAATAACATAATTATTTGGGTTTATCGTGGATAATTATATCGTGGTATTTTTTTTACTTTCATTGCAAAAACTGATTACATCTGTTATTTCTTCCAAATACTACTGTGATATCAATATTTCTGTTATTTATAATTATAGTTTATTTTTATTATGGAAGTAAATTTTTTACATGATATCTATCAATTATATCTATTTATTTAGGATATTATAATAAATGAAGACCAAATAGAGTTAATAAATATAGATGCTGTTGGTACTAATAATAATAGCGAAAAGGAACAAGAATTATCAATATCTAATAAAAGACGAAATTCAGCAAAAATCTGGGAATTTTATACTACTTGTGATAATAAAAAAAAGCAATTTGTAATAAATGTAAAAAAAAATATCACTTCCCAATTTTGGAACCTCAGGATTATGGACACATCTTAAATCCATCCACCCAACATTATATAAGAAATGTGAGCAAATAAATATTGGCAGTAATAAAATTAAGCAAAATCATTTTTACTTAATAATATAAATAATAAAGCTAATTTAAATAATTTAATTATAAACTTCTTCATTCAAAATAATTTAGCCTTTTCAATAGTTGAGGATATCACTTTTAAAAATTTAATAGCATATTTTAACCCTTCACTAACATTAGTTTCTAGAAAAATACTAAAAATAGAAATTATGAAACATTATCATAGTTCTTTTATCAATTTAAAATCTGTACTTTCTAACATTACATCTAAATTTAGCAATGGACATTTGGTCCTCCAAATAAAATACCCTTTATGGGCATAACAATTCATTATATTGATAATGATTTTAAATTAAATAATCATTTATTAGATTTTATTCCTTTTAAATCAGCACATAATTCTATTAATATTTTTAATTCTGTATTAAAAGTAAAATTTGAAATTGATTTTTTTTGCATTACATTAGACAATGCAAGTAATAATTTAGCATTTCTAAAAATTTTAAAACAAAAATTTTGATAATGTGTGCAAATGCTTTTGCCATATTATACATTTGGCTGTCATGGCTGCATTGGAACCCTTAAATACAACTTTAAAAAAAATAAAAAATTTTTAAAAAATTTTTAAACTTTCTATATCTAAATTTAATAAACTCGAAAAAATATATCTTTAAAAAAATCCACACTTAAAATTTCCTCACCCAATTTTGGATATACCAACACGTTGGAATTCAACATACCAAATGCTTGAAAGAACAATATTGCTCAAACCCTATTTGACAACATATACCAATCATTTACAAAAATACCAATCAAGAAAATTATATTAGTGCCTTAGCCTGGAATAATATAGAAATATACCGAGAATTTCTGGAACCATTTAATTTTGCTACAGAGATGGCCTCATGTGCTAATACTCCAACAATTTCAACAATTAATCCTTTATAGTATTTTTGAGCATGTGGAGAGTTATAATAATAATCCTAATGCTATTTTAAAGACAGCTTCTTTAGCTGCCTTAACAAAACTTAATAAATACTATAATAATAATAAACACCTCTTAACAATGATTGGCCCAAGATTTAAACTATCAAGTCATTTATTAAAGCATAATAATATGGAAACTCTTATTGAATATCTTACTAATGAATACAATATTTATAAAATAAATAATAACAATTCAGCGGAACTTACAAATGAAGCACAAAATAACAAAAAATTATCCTTTTATGACAAAATTTATCAGGTGAAACCTCATAATAATAACAACTTAGAAATAAGTAAATACGTAGATGAAGCCACAATTTCCAATGATACAAATCCATTAGATTGGTGGAAATTAAATAAAAATAGATATCCAGTATTATCAAAAATTGCCAGAGATTATCTAGCAATTCCGGCCACCTCATCTAGCTCTGAAAGGGCTTTTTCAGAAGGACGGTATGTTATAACAGACCAAGGTTGTTCACTAGATGAGCATACTATACAAGCTTGCCTGTGCCTAAAAAGTTGGATGCACATGCAAGATTCTTCTTAAATACATAAAATTATTTCCTCTTCTTATATTAAAATTATATCATTCTTTTGCATTATATTTTGTATAAATAGACAGTTATCATTTTTAGTTTACTTATTTTGCTATGTTCTTTGTGATAAATAAAATGGTTCAAAATCAATACGTTTATTATTGTTGATACAAAAAATACCTGATTAAATCAAAATTTTTTATATTCACTCACATCACCTAATAAATTCCTAGTTTAAAAAAAGAATTTGAATTCAGTAAAATTTTGAGAGTTGGCTCTTAGCCCTGATTTTATGGTATCATGATTTTTTTTCCCATGTTTATTTAAAATTAGAAATTAAGGGTTTTAAAATCACTATATCTATTCTTTTAATTAGTAATTTGAATTTTAAACCAATACCAATATAAACCAATAGTTACCAATATAAACCAATAGCAATACCAATACAAGAAATAGAAAATATTGTTTAAACCAATACCAATATTTTAAACCCAATACCAATACAATATTTTGTTAATATTGGGTTTTTACTATTGGTTCCCAAATCAGTCTACATTTTCCCAAATATCCTTATGGGGATGCATTTTTAAAAAAATTGCATGGTGCAATCCCCACTTCCCTATTTCCTATCCCTTCTACGCCACCGAGTCTAAGACAGAGAAAGTCTCAAAAATTTTGACATTTATAAACATAAAATAGTATTTTATATTATATTATTTATTGAATTTACGAATATTTTTTTACATTAGTGAAAATCTTATTAAAATGACTATCGATATATTGGTCGACGAAGGCTATAAAGATGCCGGATACGAATACGTGATAATAGACGATTGCTGGGCTGAGTTCGATAGGGAAAAGGTTTATATAGATTCTAAGGACTCCACAAATTTTTATTATTCGTTAGTGGCTGATCGTAAACGTTTTCCTAGTGGCATTAAATATTTGACCGATTATGTAAGTTCATGATTATCTGCATATTCATTTTTTTAGATCATGTAACGATATACCCCAAAAAAATATGTATTATTATATGATGACATAAAATTTCGATTAATAAGAATTAATTTAGGTTTAAAATGACTAGAAAATAGAGGCTATATCAGATACCTTTTATATGCTTCTGTGAAATATTAAACTTGAGTATGCTATTACTCTCATCTTTTATAAAAGGCTCACAAAAAGGGGATGAAATTAGGGATATACGCAGATTTCGGTAATAGGAGTTGTACGGGTTATAACCCTGGATCCATCAATAATTTAGAAGCCGACGCCTACACTTTTGCTCAATGGGGGGTGGATTACGTTAAAATGGACGGTTGTTTTGCTCAACCCGAAGATATGGATGTAGGTTAGCAATAAAAGAGGAATTCGTTTTTTGAAGAAAAAAAATTAAAATAAATGGAATGACTCTTATATATGATTTTTATATCTAGAATTTGCTTAGAGGAAGATTTCGCGCCCTATTTTCACGCTTATAATAAATTCAACATTTCGTCGTAATTAATATTATTTTTAAAGATGATTAAAATTGAAATCAGAGACCTAGGAACTTGAGAGGGAAATTATGGAACTAGAATAGTAATGTTTGCAAATCGAACGTTTACGATTTTTTGATATTTGACGCAACGATGGAACCGCACCGATGTGAACGATATCATTTGAAATTTATCATTTGCAAATAAATGCAATGTCAATATTGCGCAATTTGAACGCACTATAAAAGTTATTTTTGTAACATTCGCGAAACGGGATAAAATTATGAAAAATAAATATTTAATATACTCAAACTAGTTTATTATATATAAAAATAATAATTTGTAAAAGGGAATTTGTATAAAAAATTATACGCCCACACAAAATTATCATGAATTCTATACTTAATCTGATGATATCCGATATTTATGTTAATTTTTATTTACCATCTATCTTTGAACAAATGTCATAAAATATCAATATTTTCTATTTTAAAAACAAACTAACTAACTTTCATGAATGATTAAGTTTTTTTTTTAAATTCTGCAAAAGTTAAACATCTCACTTAAAATGTGGGCATGTTTGGTTGAGTAGTGTTGCTAAGCCACTTTAGCCGATTTTTAAAAATGATTAAATCAAAATTTTAGCCAAAATATCATTTGTCTCTTGAAATTTCACCAATAAATGACCAAACCTACCCTTTTTGTGCAAAATTTCTAATGGGTCATTTAATTTGGCCAAAATCTTGAGCTAGACGTTTTTAATGATCCACTAGATATAGTTATTTAAGAACACTATTTTGAATATTACTTGTTAAATGTTTGTAAATCATTTTAATGATACAGATAATATAACATCATATTTTTAGCTACTCTATCTTTTAAAAATAATTCGACTTTTTTTAAACATTACAAATAAATTACTTAAATTATTTGGTGACTTTTATTTTGTTATTAATATTAATAAAAAATATTATGTAATTATATATATTATATTCAAAAATCCAAATCAAACCATTAAATCGCTAAAAACCGGTATTTTTTTATCGAAACTAAACCAAACCTAAACCACTAAAAAATTCTAGCCGAACCTGCACCGAACCGCTAAAATGCCTCTGAACCGGTTCGAGCCTCATGATTTTATGCTTATAAAATAATGTGTAAGTTATTACTAGTATATTGCAAAATTTTTAATTATATTCGAAATGTTTTAAATATCAATCACATTTGATTGATAAGAGTCAGTCATAATTTTTATAAACTTTAGTATATTGCCATCTTTCAACATTTTTTAAATATTTTAAGCTTATAAATTATAATGCCTATAGAAAAATTAAATCCAATATATTAATTATTTATATATAGTATGGTAAAAATTAATCTGGATTTAAGACCTTATGGGATAAATGTCACATCAAAATGTAATATATTGTCAAATATAAGTGAAAGGCCATCATGGTGCAAATCTTGAGCGTCACATAAAAAGAAACCACCCTCTAGAATTCGATAAAATTAACAAAATATTACAACAAAAGCCTAATAAAATAAAAAAGTTTAAGATGTCATCAAGCCAACAGACTAGAAGAAGCATTAAAAGAACAAACAATATCAGTAAAACATAATGGCAGACCATTCAAATTAATGATAGCGGTTTTAAAAAAATTATTGATCCTATATTAGAAGGCATGGGTAATATTAAGGTTAATTCTCAAAATAATCAATCTAATGTTGCAGAATTAGCCTTAAGTATTCGGCAAAATATAATCAAAGAAATAAATGGTAAGTTATTATCTTTAAAAATTGATTATGTTACTCGTCTAGACAGGTCCATTATTGGGATTAATTAATCTTCAGAATATTCAGAAAGTAAAAATTGTTCTGAGACTAGCAATGAAAGAAATTTTTGAACGGCCCACTGCAGAATTTAAAACTCCTTTTAAAAGAAGTATTAAATAATTATGAAATCAAATCATCACAAATATACACTATAACAACTGACAATGGGGCATATCTTATTAAGATAGTAAAATTATTTATGGAGGATAGTGATGATGACGATCAAATGTCTGAAAATGATGAGGAAAAAAAATACAAAATATAGATATTTTAAATAATGTTTCTATTAGTTTCACAATATATACCTGATGAATTAACAATCAATCTTAATGATTCTCAATATACAATTATTTTCCAATCTAACCAAATGTTGGCCCCTGGTTTAGAAACCAGTGTAGAGTCTTACCAAAGCTAACAATTATAATATAAAATGTGCTTCTCATACCTTACAACTTGTGGTAGATCATGCAATAAAAAATTGCTCAGTTAATTAATATTATAATTAAGGCTGCATTCTGGAGGCGGATCCGTTTTTTTTACATCCGTTCCGTCAAAAGTCAATCTCATTAAAAATGATATATATATATTGATTTTCATTTTTAAAAAATTATAAATAATGTTATGATGCTCTATAAAATTTGCCGTATCAAAAAGTCAAAATGTTTTGACTTCAAAATTTGCCGGATCCGTTTTTAAGACTGAATGTATCGGAACGGACGCACTTTGAACATATATATCATTTTTAATGAGATTGACTTTTGACGGAACGGATGTAAAAAACGGATCCGTCACCACTTTGAAATCAGCCTAGCTCGTACTTCCTGCAAGAAACTAACAAAATCGATATCAATCATACCAAAATAAATTAAACTTAAAAAGATCTATATTGGAATGTCACAGATGGCTATCAACCTATGGCATGATAGAGAGATTGAATGAATTAAAGGATATGTTTGAGAAATTTTCAGTATTCAGTGAACTTTATTTTACAGCTTTGGAGTGGGAAGTAATTATAGGGTTGATAAATATCCTAAAACCAATTAAAATAGCTACCAAGAATTTACAACTTGATCTAACTAGGGGATTTTTATGGCATTTGGCTAAAAGCTAAAGAAATTTCTATTTTTCCTTCACCCTTTGCTGGCTCAATAATAGATGTTATGAATTTTCGAGAGAAGCAACTTTTAAACAACAATGCCTTTTTGTCATGCCTATATCTAGATTTAAGGTATGTTTTAAAAATATTATATTATATCTTATATAAATTTAATTAATAATTTTATTTTACTTTATATTTTTCTATCTATTCATAAAAAATAATATGATTTTTTTAATGATATTTTTAATTTTTATTATATAGATATCAAATGCTTCTGACTGAAAAAGAAAAAACCAAGGCTAGAAAGCATATTATTAAAATATAGTATAACATGGAATTATACTTTGTTATAAGAGGGGAGTATTTTAGTGGAAGTGAATCAACGCCGGTTAATGTATCTTCATCTGAAGAGGATTTAGTAGATAGTCTTCTTTAAAAAAAGATGGTAACAAACATTACCTGTTACAAAAATCGGAGAATAGTAGAAATATTTTAGTTAATTTTTCTAAAGAACCTAGGTTAAAATATGAATATTTTAGACTATTGGAGAAATCAGAGTAATCTATACCCAGAATTATGTAAATTGTCTGATATCATACTGGCAGTGCCGGCTACCCAAGTTAGCGTGGAAAGATATTTTTCAACAGTTAAATTTATACTATCTCCTTATAGATGTAATTTGAGTGAGACGAATCATGAAAATATATTAATTGTGCGACTTAATAAAAAAATTTTAATTAAATAAAATGAAATATTGTTCATATTAAAATTAATCATTGATATTTATTTTATGTATGTGTTTTTTATTTTGATGAAATAAAAAAAAAATTCTTCCCTTATAGAATTTGAATGTATGAATACAAAAGTGTTCAAACCGGGTTTTAGAGGTTCGAAGAACTGATATTTTTATTTTTTACGAACCGAACAACCTTGAACCGTTATTTTTATCCGAACCTGAACCGAGCCGATATTCGTGTTAGTTTGGATCACTGAAACTATACTAAAATAACATGTAAAAAAAATTATGTAAACAATTTTAAAAAAAATCATAAAAGAGCGGGAGCAAAAGCCTCTCATTGAGATCCGAGGAAACTAAGATATTGCCCCAGAACACGGCGATTTGAGTTGATTGTAACATTTTAAAAGAGGATCCATCATCACTATAGATTTTTGAAATTTTTTTTACCAATAATCTTAAAAAATTATAGCCTAGGGGGCCTAGGGACCCATTGGTAGAAATAATTATTGGAATAAAATGAAAATCAGAAAAGTCATGGTAAAACAATAAAAATATTGGTTTTTAAAAATATCGGCTCCGATCCGATTTTTAATATCGGCACAGCCCTCGATTTAATTGATCATTTTTTCAAAAATCTATGTACCATATTTCTGATTTTATAAAAACGGCTAACTCAGGATTTTAGCCAAAAAAATATTACCCACGCTTGGAGATTGCATCATAGATGGCAGAAAAGATTTAGATATTTATCTCGGGGGTTAGGCAATATTATTTTGGCTTTAATTTTGACTTCGCTTTTAAGAATCGGCATAATCAGGCCGTTTAACAACACCAGTACCATTCCATTTATCATACCATTTATGTGATTAAGATTATAAAAGCAAATATTTTAAGATCAAATTTTAACTGATTTCTACCGTTTTATAAGAAATTTAATATTTTATAAAATACGATTTTTCATGTTATTATTGCTGTTTAGTCAATTTTTTTAAAAAATATGTCTAATCAAGACTTTAACCAAAAAATTTAACCAAAAGATGGGAGAATTGCTTGGCTCTATTTTGTGGATATATCAAAACTTCTAAGATATTATATTATTGGCTAAATTCTTGATTTATGCCTTTTCTAGTTTCTTTAGAAGTTTATACCAAATTTCGACTGCAGACTTACGCAACATCCTGCTGGAAGTTTTAACCCAAAATTATTTGTCTTTTAGTTTTTATAGTTAAGTTCGTGTGCGAAAAAATATCCTAGATGTTTAAAAATATTATAATTTGACTGCTCAGTGTATTAAAAAAACAGAATTAAACCACTAAATTTAGAAGACAGATATACACTTTGCTGATTGATCAAAAATACCTATCTTAAGCTCGACTATATTAGTCACGAATATTAATAAACTAAATAATCATAATGTCCATAACTAATACATGTTCATTTAAAATATTACACTATACGAATAACTTGATTTCAAAAATTTATTTTAAAAATTTGTTACTGATATTATTTATGCGACTTGGACACTTATACTTAATAAAATTATTACAATTCGTAAATAATTTAGTCGAGCTAGGACTACAACTTTCCGAAACGTTCCAAAAACTCTTAATAAAAACAAGGGAAACATTTTTTTGAGAGGGGGGGGGGGAGTAGGGGATGGGTTAATTTAATTGAAAGAGAAACGCGAAAATTTTTTGGTGCTAGTTTATTTTTCTAATGATAAATATATTAGGTAGGTAAAACCTAAATTTTTCTTATTAGTTTTTTTCTTCTCCTGACATGATATATATTTTTTTTCTTTTAAAGGTTATCCTATGTTCGGATACTTCTTAAACAAGACCAATAGAGCCATGATATATTCGTGCAGTTGGCCTTATTACCAAAGATACATCGGTATCGAGGTTTAAAATCAAACTCTTTATAACTTATAATCGCATCATATGTAAGGAAATAATGATTATTCATCCTTTATTGAAACGAAATATCTTTTAATATCGTCCCCTGAGAATTGGATTATTCCATCTCACTTTAATTTTACAGAAGAGTGCAATTTTTTAAAATTAACTATTGTTTTCAAGGATCCTGTTACATTATATTGTCTATAATTTAACTTATTTTATAAATATTTTTCGGATTTTTTTTGTGTAAATAGTATATTATAATTATAAAAAATTGATTTATGTAAAAAAAAGAAGTCATTTTTGACATAAAATGGATATGGAATTACCTAATTCTCAAGTGACGATATATATTGTTATTAAATTTCTATTTCATTTTCGTATCTAATTATCTCTCGAAATACAAAATATGAAAGTATAGTTTAACACGGAGGTAATCTAAGGAAAATTTCGAGAAAAAAAACCGAAATTTTTCCAATAATATTTTGATTTTATTCAGAAACATTATGGAAAAATATAAATTGCAATTTTTAATTTTAAATGTACAGGCAAAATAAACGAGGGTTATAATATTGGTGAGGTGATTTATTACCAATTACTAACGTGATCACATTCATAATATTAAAAAAAAATTATTCGGATTTTTGATGGAAAATCGCTTCATTTGAGCCAATTTTTTAAAACGACCATCTCAATTTTTTAGCCAGAATAATATTGCCTAAGCATTGAAATGACGCTAATAGCTGTCCAAACCTTTGTGCCATTTTTGGGAAAGATTTTCAGGCTTGCTTAATATTTTTCTATATAAAATACTGAATTAGTCGTTTTTAAAAATCGACACAAATTGGAGCTATTTTGCATCACTAATTTGGATATATTGCAAAATCTAGGTTTCTCTGAGTGGACACTGGCATTTCGGATATCTTTTTCTTAGTCATAGCTAAATGTCATGATAAATCCCATTCCCAGTGGCTACGGGATTTCTTAGGTTCCACAATTGGGTTACGTTTTTAAATCTCCTAACTTTGGCCAACTCTCACTCTTTAAGCTGAGACTGAGCTTAGTCAAGTCAAATGTAGTCTAAAAGCTTGACCGTTGGACCAAAGTTAAGTTTGGTGGTTAGCGACATTATGATAAAGTACCTAAGGAAACCGTTTGATCGGTATCACTGTTTAGGACTATTTTTTTTTTGAAATTAGAAATCGAATAAAGAACTAGTATAATAGAAAAAATAATAATTGATTGATAATTATTAACATCATCATAATTTATATTCTATTTTTTAATATCTGGCGACGATGCTATTTTCAATGTCATCCAAAATGGATTTATTGCGAACTAATCAATTTGTATAAAATTTTGTTATTTTTTTATTTCCAAATTCAATATTTAAAGGTTCTCTTGTTATTTAATTAATTTTAATTTATTCGATTTTTTAAAATGAGTATTTATTATACCCATAGTTGCCCCCCCCCCCGACTCTCAGTTACAAAATAAAGGATGCTTAATTTTTATTTTTAAAAATACGTATCTTTAGCCAAATTACAGATACATCGCCAAGCATTGCAACTTGTGGAGAAATTATTGGGATATAAGAGATGATTGGAATTTAATCAAAGACATAATATCCTACTACGCCTATAAACAAGAATCGTTGATATCGAGCGCATCTCCTGGCGCCTGGAATGATCCGGATCAAGTAACATTAAATATTTTTTTATTAGATATGAACGGGGTAAGTTTTTAAAAACATAAATTAAATTTTTTGCTTATTATAAATCGAATAAATTTTTTAATCTATTTAAAAATATGTATATGTTAACCGCAATATGCTATTTTTCAACTTGAGTGCTTATATTTAAAAATCTGATTAGAAATATATTCCAACTATGAATTGTAGACGCTTTTACCGTTAATCTTTGAGTCATTCATTTATAATTTATATTTAAAAATTCTTTGAAAAAACTAATAAAATTGATGGCAAAATCCTCGAAATTTAGAGGGTAGATATTCCAAACATGATAGAATACTTTTCGGTAAAATCAGATTTTTAAATTTTAAAAAATCTCAAAAAAGATTTAGAGTTGAAAAAATAACGCATTGCCGATAATATACATGTATTAATAACATTAATTGGAACCTGATTTTGTTCCTAAAATTATGAAAAGTGGGATTATTTCCTGTTTTTTAGACGCGCTTTTGAGGGTTTCAGCATCTGTTTCTGGTTCCAAATCAAATAAAAACAAAAGAATCAAATAATTAAATTACTTGCACTTTTGGTAGAACCAATTTTCCCTATAAATTTTATAAGAAAGGGTTCTGGTTCCAATTAACCTCTTCACACAACATATAAAAAGGTGATGGTTGGAGCCCCCGGTCTTTCTTTTGAGCAAAGCAAAGCACACATGGCTATATGGGCCATTCTTGCCGCTCCTCTCATAATGTCGAACGATTTAACTCGCATTCCTCACCGGATAAAACACGAAATATTACTCAATAAACGACTAATCGCCATAAATCAGGATCCTCTCGGTAAGCAGGGCAGATTACTTTTTCAGGTTATTAATTTGTTTTTTGTTAATTCCACCCAAATATATATATTTCGCAATAACTCCTTGTAAGTTTTTTTATAATTTTAAAATCACAGAAAAATTTGGTCCAAGTTTGGATTCGACCCATATTGCCCCGAGGTTCTTACGCTTTAGCATTGCTTTACCCATTTCAGGACGAATTCGCTGTGAATAACGATATAATAACTGGTCCGAGCGAAAATGGCGATGGCTTGATACCTAAAATGCATAATTTCGATCTTCAGCCCATTCTTTTAGGGCTGAACAACGAATCTGGTTACGTGTTCTACAATGTCTACGGTAATTTTTCTCGGCCAATTTACCATCATTGGCCGAATTTGAGATTTCATTGAGAAAAATATAAATTTTGCCCTTTTATTAATTTAATAAAAATGACTTTTAATTTTAACAATTAGAATCAGATGTGAATTTAGGAAAAGCAGGATATGACATATGAACACCTAAACTGTATTTTTGATATTAATTATGAGTGTTAGAATGCATAACATCATCAGGGCTGTGTCGACGAAACATTTTAAAAGTAACTAGACCGATTTCATACAAAGACATATTATAAAAACTATATATACATCGTTTTGGGATATGGAATCCTTGGGGATTCGTAATCTTTAATTTTGAATCATTTACTGAGGGCCATTTTTTAGCTCGAATATAACAATATAATAACGAACTTAGTAGATTATGTAGAGATGATGTCAATTTAAAGATGATGAAATATTCGGAGGTATACAGAAATGTTTATTAACAAAAAAAAATTCCGATTTGCGGTAACAGTAACTAATAGAAATCATAAAAAAGGGTTATATAATTTCGAATATAAAATATATTTTAAAAGATAGATGAAAATAAAGAAAAAATGGAAGACAAGGGAGAAAGAGAGAGTGATGATATGTAGATTAAGGGCTAATGGTAGATAATGACATAACACATAAGCTATATGAGGCCAATATTGAATATAACTTGCGCACAAACAAAAGAGATAAAGGTAATCCATGGGAGAACTAACAATGAAGCTAAGATGATATGTAAATTACGAAAGACTATCGTTAGAAAAATCACCCTGCCATAAATGATTTAAAATAGAGAGATTTCAAATTCCCATGAATCATATATCCCAATACGACATATATTTGCGCTACGCCGTTATTATTAATAAATCGGGGCCGATATTTAGCACTTTTAAAAAACATCGGTGCCTTAGGTGTAATCAGGATTTTTCTATTAGGTTACTTTTTTCCACCATATATTTATGAAAATAATTTTGGCTTGTCACTTTTTTTAGTAAAAATGCTTTTTTTCCTGTAAATTATAAATTATTGTCATTATTTTAAAAAAAAATTATTAACTTTTACTTATTTTTCTTTCAAATTATTATATATAGTAATATATTGTATACAATTTTGGGGGAGATGGGGGTGTGTAAGGGTAAAATTTTTATTAACTTAAAATTACATTCACGAGAACTCCGAAGGTGGGGAATTTTCTCTTGCCCCCCCCCCTCATCACGCCTATGGATCGGGTTTTTTTAAGAAACCGATATGGTTCGGTATTTTTTATTGTTTTTGGTTATTTTATGGTTTTATAATATGAAATTATATAATATATTTCTATTTTATACATAATTTCAATAATAACCAATTAATAAAATGAAACCAAAATCAATTTTTTTTGTAATATTTAAAAAATTAAATCATTTTAAAAGACAGGGTAGCTAAAATTGAGGCTGTATTTTTTTTGTTACATTATCTGCAACAAGAAAATAATTTAAATAATATCTAACGAGTCACATGCCGTGAAAACAGCTAACTCAAGATTTTAGCCAAAAGTAATTAACCCAAGTTCGGAAGATGACAGAAAGCTCTGGACATTTATTGGTCAAATCGTTGTATATTTCGACTAAAATGTTGATTTAGTCCTTTTTTTAAAATTGGCTCAAACTTTTTAACAAAATTACATTCAGCCACAAACATTTTAAATAAGATGATTAACTTTAAAATAATAACAATAAAATATCCTCATTCATGCTTGAAAGTTAGTTGACCTTTTTAAAAAAAAAGAAAATATTGATTTATATGTATGACATTGTTTTAAAGATCAATGGTAAATAAAAATCAATAAATATCGCATCGGTATTAGTTATATTTATAGATCGGAACGGCCTTAATATATATTTACTCGAAAAACACATTTTAAATTTAATACCATTTTTATCTGTTTTTAAATACATTTTCAAAGATTTTGCTAAAAGGGCATTCTTCTATTAGTAATAAAAATATTTTTATGCATTAATTTATGCACTGGATTTGTTTAAATGAAGATTATTAATATAGGGATAAAATCTTTAATCTGAACACTTAAATAATTATCAGAATCCTTTATATCGATTTATTGCATTGGGTAGGCTCATCAAAAAATTGACTGTTTCTTTTTTGGAATATTTTTTACAATACCTTTTATTTTTTTTGCATTTGCGACCGGGTCTATATATGCTATATATTTTTTTAGCTATTACTTTTTAAAAGATTATCACTTGACAATATCATTTTTTTGAATTAAATTTATCACTGAATATCAAATCACGTTTAAAATGCTTTTTTTATTTATTAACTATATTATTACGAAATTTAAAAAAATAAAACTACTAGAGAATTAGCCGAGTGAGCCTATAAGTTAGTTGATTTTGTTGATCAAAGCTTAGGTCTCACGAGGCAGAAGATTTGTTTTTAATATCACGCTTCAGTGGCTTACGCCATAGTTTGAATGGTTATTTAGATACAAATTTTTTTTCTGCTATTTATGTTATTTATTTATAATTTAGATATTACGGGGAAAGACAAATGGGTTATGCAGCCTAATAACCACAAAATGCTAAAAATCTCAAAGCCAGGCGTCGTGTTTTTGCAGGTTAATCCATTCAACAATTAACAAAAGAATTAATACTTTTGATATACAGTATTATTATTATTGCATTTAATACATTTAACATAAGTAATTTAAATTAGATATATTTTTATGTAAATAGTTTAATCATTGCTTATTACAAATATTAAGTTGATTTAAATTTGTTTATCCTAAATAAACCCTCATTTAGTTCTATATTTGTTATACTATCTCACTTTTTTAACAATAAATTAAATTTCAAAGCACACAATTAATTATTATTTATATTTAATATAGCTGCTCAAATATAATTTTATTTTTTACTATTCCGTTTATTACGTTTTAATTACATACCATATATAATATTGTATTTTTATATTACTTTATTTTTGTTTTATACATTTTTTAAATATTTATATAGTAAATAAATAAACAGTATAAGTGATTATATCAAGCTAATATTTTTTGACACTATCTTTATAAATAAATTATATATAATGTCTTTTTGGGATATGGAATTCATGGAAATTTGGATTCTCTTTTAAATCATTTTGTAGAGGAAGATTTTTTAAAAAAAATTTAAATTTGATTTAACCCAGCATGTGTAAAGTTTCCATGAATTTCAGATAGTTCTTTTTCCTTAATTCTATTGTGTATTTTGTAATTTACATAAAAAATCCATAAAACTAAGAGGAATTCTTAAGTTCATAGCGAAATTGTTTGAAATTCACCATATGCGTACTCTACATGCTGCAATACATTTTTGATCAATCGCCCTTAGTAAATGATTTAAAATCGAGAGATTCCGAATCCACTAATATTTATTTTTTTAGTCAACTAAAATACAGAAAGGTGACAATATTTTATCAACCAATGCATTGAAAGTTGATTCATTGTAAGGAGTTAAGGTTTTGTTTGAAGTCAAGATGCGAAGAGTTACTTTCTTATCACCTGGTTATTTTATGAGAGATCATTTTGGATTTTGATAAAATATGTGATGGAAGAACGGTTTTTCATTTTATAAAGTGTTAGCACCATTTTTGTCAAAGGTTGATATGTTCTCTCTTATATTAGACAAAATAGTATTCTTATTCTTGTTTATAGTGATATATTGTATATATTTTTGGAGAGAGGAGGGTGGGAGGGGGAGGGGTGATATATTTATTAGCTTAAATTAATATATATTTATATATACTAGAAAAGACAAATTTCAGAAGGGGGAGGGGGCTTAGAAATGAATTCCATATTTCGCGAATTATTTTTATAATACAAGATTCACTTAATTCAATATGAAATAAGCACAATATAATTAATAAAGAAAACATGTGATTCTAAAGAATATATCTATATTCTCCAGAATACTGGCTTAGAAATTTGTTGTTCAAATTTCTTATCAATTCATGGCTCCATGCTGCTTATTATCCATCATTTATAATAGTAATTTTATCAGTAATTTATTTTAATCTTTATTTACATTTTTAATTTGTTTTAACATATAGGATAAAAAAAATTATCTAAGAGGTAGGGAATAGCATGAATCCGTGAATTAGGAGTAAATTATATCTATATATCTTCCAGCCCACAGGGGTAAAAATATTCTTTTGAACCACCTCCAGTATTGTCAATTTCATTTCTATAACGTTTGAGATAGGTCCCTAGACTGAAATTGTCAAGTTTAAAGGTGACTTATTTGAAGGAAGATATTAAGAAATAAATATCTTTTTTTTTTACTTTATTATTATTTTTGTTTTGATATATTAGTTTAGCAATCTTTTCTACTAGGCAACATAAGGAATGGAAAAATATTTATGTTTATATTATACATAACAATCATCAGTTATTTTTACAAATTATTTTCTTCGTAATTTTCATTTTGAAAAGAATTATTTCGCGACCCATTACGAAATTAAAGGAAGACGTGCCTTTCATAAGATAGCTAAAGAATTGAAGTTTTTATAGCTTTTTGAAACAAAATAACCAATATAATAACAGACTATGTGTCCATCTTCCTTTAGCTTTTTAAGTATTTTTTTTATCATTCCATTTTAATGTATAAAATAAATCCTTTTAGAGTTTTCAGTGATAAGAATGAAACAAGAGATGAAGATGAAACTTCGGATGAAGAAAATAATTTCTTACTCCTTTGCAACTTTTGATATTTATGATAATGAAGCTGAGAATCAATGCATGATAAGGAGTATGTAATAATTACCAGGCTCCTCTACCCATTTTTCAAGCTTGAATGGGGTTAAATTCAAGGCCCCAGATAATAGAGAAAGAAAAGAAGGGCTGATACAACGTCTAATTTATGTCATACCTTTCCAGTTTTCCCATATACATCAAGCTCCAAAATAAAATTGAAATTTTTTATTAATTTATGCTACACCCAACATCATGATGAAAATATGGAGATTTTAGTTATTGTTCATTTTATATAAATTCTAATTAAAACAAATTTAAATATGCCTATTTCGAAATGCCCTTTATCGTTATGGCACGTGTATTATCATTTAATATAATCAATACAACAACATAATACTTCCTTGATAATAATAGTAATTATTCATTTTTATTTTTTTTTGCCTTCTAATTAACATCACACATTTAGTATAAAATAAATTTATCATAAAAAAATTAATCTAAAAAAAACATTCTTATAACGTTTAATTGAAAAAAAGAATAAATTATTTTAAAAAAATAAAATAAATAAAGATAATAAATATAACGCTATCTCACGGGTAAAATATATGGTCTGTTAAATTTTACCAGTTAACATAATTATGAGAATAAAGGCATTTCTTCGATGTAGACCTACTTTCTATCAACATATTATTTTAATTATAATCAAATAATATTCTTAAAATTGTATTAAAAAAGAAATTTGACACTTTGTAAAATTAGATTATTAAAATTAATTTTCTATATATTTGAGGGTAAGAAAAGTACTAAATTGTGGTCAACCCATTATTTTAATTATGGCAAAAATTAATTATAAGAAATAGATTAAAGATTTCACGTATATATATCAGAGAGTTGCAGAGTATTTTTAAAATATACTATATTAATTTTTATACCTAATAATGGCGATTTAAATATTTGGTTTTAAAATATACGGCCCGGGAATTTTTTTAAAAAAATTTTTGGGTCAAAAGATTTTACAACCGACCTCATGAGTTGACTCCCCTATCCAAATTTATAAAATAAGACCACTTCTTAGCCTTTTCTTTGATTTTAATTTTTTTAATATAAAGTACACAAAACAAAATTATATTTTTTTAAAAATTTATATATTTGAATCAAAGAAAATGATTATAATATTTTATTTGCTTTTAAAAGCATAAATTTTTTACATTTAAACCTATAACCAGGGATGTGAACCCGGACCCTAAAGCCTCGTATTTTGGCTGTACCTGAACCCTGAACCTTTTTTAAAGTGGAGGGTTTAAGGGTTCTAGGTGTCATAAAAAATTTTTACAAATTTATTTAAAAAAAATAATATAAAAATTATATTTTTAAAAATATTATAAAAGCCTAAAAAATAATATTTTAAAGCTATCATTGTGTTGATATGACCGATTAATACTAACCTTTAAATTGTTTTTTTGTGTTTATATAAATTGATTTTTTTTTATAAATTGTGATTGATTTTTGTATATAAATTATTATATTAATATGTAAATTGATTTTTTTGTTTGTAACATGCTATATAAGCATTATATTTTTAGTTTTAAAATAGATGTAAAATTTTAAAAAATAAATTAAATAAAATTTAACTCGTAACATTGATTTATTCTTATAAATCTTTACATTGATAAAGCAATGAATATTGTAAAATATTAAGAACTCCCAGAATTGTAAGAATATTAAAATCAATGAAAAGGTCAATGGCAATATTAGATTGCACAACACGTTGGTCCTCAATTTGTATGATGCTAGAAGATTAGTTTGAAACATTTCTGTAATGATTTTATTATAGGAGCATGTGAAGTCATTTTCTGGGAAGAGATTGGTGCCATTAAAGGATCTCACTAGTTTATTAGTTCCTTTATAAATAACAACATTATGATTACAATCAGAACAATTATGTTTATCTGATTTTTATGGCATATGGATTAGATGCCGATAAGATTTAGAAAGATTTACTAGTCCTTTTCATATGAAATATTAGAAAACATGAAGATTCGAGAGCAACAATATTTGCAAAATAGTGGTGTATACGTTTCTATATATTTAGACCCTCGATATCAAGTTTTATTGAGTATTGAGCAAAAACAAATGGCTAAAGACCATCTTAAGGATTTATGGCATAAGCAAAACTCCATTATTTACAATATATCGGAGGCTACGACAATACCTATTGGTTGTAGTTATAATAATAATAATTGTAGCAACATTGATGATCTTAAAATTTTACTTTTAGATAGAGAAAAAAAAATAATCATCAGATAGAAAGGAGGATCAAAAAATGCCCATTACATCTTTAATAGAAAGTTCTCAGAAGTTAAGAGAATAAATAAGGATACAAATATTTTAAAATTCTGGGATAAAAATTCTTCAATATATCCAGAATTATAAATCTTATCTAAAATCGTCATGGTTGTACCGGTGACATGAGTACAATATTTTATGTATTATTAAGAAAACTATCTATTTTAAGTAAGCGTAGAACGTAAATTTTCTTCTTTGAAATATATATTTTCTAATTTACGTGGAAATCTCAAGGATGATTTATTAGAAGATATTATGATTGTGCGATTGAATAAAGCATTTAAAATATAATTTATTTTATTTTCAAATTTTTTATTTGTAAATTATGAATGTATATATATTGCAGTATAATAATAAATGAATGAAAAAAAAGTCTTATTTTAATTCATTTTTTTAGTTCTCTGAACCCGGACCCTTTTTAAATTTACTGTACCCGGACCTGGACACTTTTTTCTCGAAGGGTACACATCCCTCCCTATAACTACAAAAATATTAATCAAAAAATGTATTGGGAAAAAAAACAAGAATATAGGAAATGTCATAGAAATATCCCCAAAAAGGAAATCAAGTCTAAGATTTGATTTTGGTAATAAGAAGTTCATAATGAAACTAATGTAGCCTTAGTTTTAGAAATATCTAAAATTTTATTAAATTATTTATATGGCTATAAATGCGAGTGTGTTGAAAACCGATAATCATCAAGTCTTAAAGTATAAAAGCCTATTATAAGGGTTAATTTTAAATATCGTATGGCGAACCAAAATGTGATACGACCGAATAACCAATGTTTATTTATAATATTTTTATTTAAAATATAGTCATTTTCGAAGAGCGTCTTGATTGGATTCGATCACGTAATTTCATAAAAAATAAATGGCCTTATTACATTTTTAAAAAAATATGGTCGTTGTTTAGTAATTGCAATATGTTGACTATATGAAAACTAAAGCTTTGGATGAAGACGTGTATCTCGATCCGAAGGTTCCGGGTTTGAATCCTATTTGGATCATGTTTTTTTCTAAATCCATGGTTCCGTCCTTGGAAGGATGATATATAGTGTATCGTGCTTGACCACGTGATTCCATTAATATTTAAAAAATAGGTCTTATTACATTTTAATAAAAATTGGCCGTTGTTTAGTAATTGCAATTGGTACTCCCTTAATAAATTTAAAAAAGAATAATATATTTCCAACTATCATAATAGATTTATGTTAAATATCGCATAGTCAAAATTACGTGATATTAAGCGCATCGCCATTTTCGCTGTGTGAAATAGCAGAGCTACGCTTAGAATCCTCAAATCCCATCTAATTACGTTAAGTAATTGGGGATAACTTAAGAGAAAAAGCATCCATATATTATTAGGCAGATTGCAGTTACCTGGGTGCGTAAGAGGCAAAGCTATTTATTTAAGCGCCCATGAAATGAAAAAATTAGGTAAAGGTTCATACCTGATTAGATAAAGGTAATAATGTAGAAAGGTGTTGGTAAGGTTAAAATTAAATTATATTATCATTGTAAATGCTGATTAGAAGAAATCTAAAGCAAGAATATTAGATTAAACAATTATAATGACACCAATACAAGAATAATATCAATTAATTTAAATAGCAGCTTATCAAAACAATTTTTGGCACTCGAATTTATTTTCATTCATTCATTACCCATTTTTTAATGTAAAATGCTGAAAAAAATTTCAAGATCTTCTTCTTTAAATATAATTAATACTTCTAGGATAATAGCTAATTTATATCATAAAAATGTATAAATATTAATTTTACTTGCTAAACATTTTTATTGTAGGTAATTGATCATTATGAAAATCCAAGAAATGTGGGTTCACTTGATAAAAGTGAAAAAAATGTTGGGACAGGTTTAGTTGGAGCTCCAGCTTGTGGAGATGTTATGAAATTACAAGTAATAGCATAAAAATTATCTTTCATAATTTAATTTTAGATCAAAGTAGATGAAAATGGAAAAATTGTTGATGCAAAATTTAAAACATTTGGGTGTGGATCAGCTATAGCATCAAGCTCTTTAGCCACAGAATGGATTAAAGGTAAATCTGTTAATGAAGCTGGAACAATTAAAAATTCTGATATTGCAAAAGAATTATGTCTTCCACCTGTGAAACTACATTGCTCAAGTAGTTAAATTTAAAAATTCACTTAAATATACTATACCTCAAAATATAAATAATGTGACATCACATATATTTTTTTCTATTATATTTTGTTACAGAACTTTGCGATAAGAATTATATCAAATGCCTTAAATTTAGAATATACTGATTTTAAAACCTTGAAAAACTTATAAAGATTTTTTTATAAAATAATATAAGCACTATACTTTTGTTTAATGATAAGCAATCATATACAATTATACATTCAGCTATATTTAATTTTTGTTTATTATCTATTAGCTATCTAATATTTATTTATCAAAAATAATTAAAATACAATACCTACTTAAAAATTTTTTTAATTATTTGTCTGGTTTATTGTTTATATTTACATTCCTTACTTTTGAATTTTAACTATTTATAATGCAATTTTCAATTATATTTAAATCAAATAATATAATTTTAGCCAATAAACCAAATAAAAAATGTTTCTATTTGAAAATTCCCAATTTCCACAAAAATATTTTTTGATTATTCATTTAAGGCATAAAAATGCAATATTAATGAAACTTGTACTCATAATTTATATGATTATCATTCATCATAAAGTTAATTCTCTAGCTGAATTTTAAAAGTAAAAAGTAATAGGAAAAAAAATTGACAACACTTTTTTTCTTCCTTCTTATCTCATTAGAAATATTTTTATATACTTATGGTTGACTGCATTTATAATACAAAAAAAATCAAAATATACAATTAAAATTACTTTTCTAAATTATAAATTTTATTTCAATTCACTATAATTTCAAATTTAATTATGAATTTATGTGCTATGCCAATCCACAAATTTTTCTCTGATCCAATATATGGTGATATTATTACTTACTTAATTATATACCAATCTGATATTTTTATTTTATTTTACTTATATCCTTGAATGAATATTTAAGAAAATTGTTTTTCTTTTCAAAAAAACCAAATAACTTTTATGAATTGTTAAGTGAATTTTATTTTTTATTCTCCAAATAATTACATTTAAAATATTGGTTTAAATATTTTTAAATTGCATTAATATATATTATTAAATGATTTGTCATTATAAAGGAAGTATTATTATTATTTATAAATATTATTTTTTAAAAAAATACAATAAAGTGCTTGCGGAAGATGCAATAAGGGCAGCTTTACTGGACTACAAAAAGAAGCAAGAAAAGTGAAATGTCATCCAAATTCATTATATAGTTTTTACAACATAATTTATAAAATAATATATACTTCATATATAATGTTATCATTTAAAGATTATTTTCATTTTTTAACACATGTTTCTCTAAAGTTAAAATTAACTTATTTACATTTACAGATGAAAAGTTTGAACTTTCAGGCACCTTTATTATTTATTGATATAAATATAACGTAATATAAATTATTGTAAATTTACATTCGATATATTTTTGAAAATTTTACTGTACTTGATAGAATTTTAAATAAAATATTTTTTATTAGTATATGGTAAAAAAACAAAAAAACACGAAATATTTATCACTCTTATATTCGTTTTTTAAAATTATCTTTATAAATACTTAATTAATATTACTCATTTGGCAAATATCGTTTTATGTTTAAACAAACCATTTTTTTAATTATCAAATTTTATAAGGTTGAGAACTGATATATATTACTTCCATCTTACTAATCCAATCGAATATTATATTTATTTTAAAATTATGTTCAAGAATATCAATAATTTATTCTAGGGATGTACGCATATTTTTTATCAAATTGCCATTCATCTTTTTTGAAATAGGTTATCACCAGATATTATTATACCGATTATTCTATAATAATTAATAAAATTAAAATTTATTACTATTTAAGAAAATATATTTAATTGATTATTTAGAAATAAACTAAATATTTGAAAATATGCTAAAAATATATTAATATACATCATTTATTTTTGAAGGAATGTTTATGATTTTAAAATTTAAAAAATAATGTGGAATTCAAATTTAAAAACAATAGATTTGGAACAAAAAAGGAACACACGTTACTGACTATTCAAAAAAGAAACTCGTTACTCATTACTTAAAATATAAATTTGTTTTTTTATATAACATAGACCTGTAGGCATTTTAATTGTTTTTAAAATACCGAGGCCATGCCAGGCTTAATATTTTTTAAAAAAATACTCTGCCTGGATCATATATTTTAAAACTAAATATTTTAAATCGCCATTATTAGCAATAAAAATTAAAAATAAATATAATATTTCAAAAAAAATCCGGGCCAGGTCTGTAAATATAAAACCTTGACCGGGCCAAAATAAATTTTTAAAAAAAATTCAGGCCAGACAGGGCTGTGCAAATGGTACCTCTTGATGTCTCCGATATATAATATAAATAAAATTATGTAAAAAATATTATATGATAAGATCTTTTTATTTATATTTATTTTTAAATATAATATAAAAAAAATAATACAACAATAATGTATTATTTTTGTAATAATTTTTATTTATTTTTAACAATTGATTTCCAAAATTTTGATCAGTTAAACAAAGAGCGCTTAGTGCTTATCTGCTAGCTTTCAATTGGAGTAGAGGATGGTAGGGTTGTATTACATTTAATAAATAGAAATTTTAGGGGTATTATAAATTAAAGAATAATCTTTATTTTGCAGAAAGCTAACACCTTCAAAAGAATAGAATCATTCAGATCCTCATCTAATTTTTTTTATCTTTGTTCTTTAAAGGAATCAAGTTCCATTTCTTTGTCATGATCTTTTCTCAAACAGGAAATAAGTTCAAGCTTCCTTTCTACGTTGACTTCTAATTTTACAAAAGCCAATCTGATTTAAATAGCGGGTGAATTATTGCTGATAATATATATTGATCTTTATAGATGTGTTCGCATCTAGTGAAATAAAATAATATCAAAATATAATTGTAAACAATATTCCAACTGACCTTTTATCTTTATCTTGCAGAATTGCATTAGTGTCTTATAAAATGAAATTATTTAAAGCCATTTTTTAATTTATAATAGTTATCTTGGGAGTGATCCCATATTTTTTCTTTTCTAAAATCCAAAGATCCGTAGGGAACTGATTTCATAACCTATAATATCATATATATAACTATACAATATTCATCTATGAAAGACTTGTCATGTCACTATCTAAAAATCTCTGTAATTTAGATTTATCACAAGATTCGTCAAATTTGTGGCCATTCTCCTTAAGACTATCTATTAGGATTTATAGAAAGAGTTCTATCTTGTTATAGCCAGTTTAATCAGATATTCGCCCATTTTTCCTTTAAAAATGGCAGTTTATTGATGTTCATATATTCCACAATTAACGTTAAAATATTTAAGTTGGAACACAATTTATACTTACAAAGTGTGAACTTTGTACCCTTAGTTTTCTTTATTGGTATAAAAAATGTTTCATATTGGAGCCAAGGCAGGTTTAACTCATCTTCATATGAAGAAAATACATATGACATAATATTCTTTATAAAATATTTTATAAGATTAACAATTATGACTGAAAATTTAATAACGAAAATAAAAAATGAAGGAATTTGGTGGTTGATGTGAATTAAAAACTCGGCTTAAATTATTTATAAAATTTAAAAAAATATAAAAGTAATTTTACAATAAAATATGTGTTTTCCATATTTTTTAAGAAAAATTTGAAACAAAAAAAAGAAAGAAACCTGTTACTCGGTACTTCTAGATGGAAGTAATGAATGGCGTTCATTTTCTTTAAAAAAGGTAACTAGTAACGATGTTACTTAACAGCATTAATAAAAAACAAATCGAATCCAATTTTAGGTATAATTTGATCAAAATTCCTGTTTAAGCTATCTCAAAAAGATTTTTCTTTTTAAACGAATGTTAAAAATGTATTTAAAGCAGCAAATTCCTGTAATTCATCTAATTTTATATAAATATGACATTAAAATTGTATATTATATTAATTCAACTTCTTTTAATTTGAATTTATTATCGATAATACTTAGATTTTTCCATTTATTATTTATAAATTCAATTTCTTTTCTAAATATGAAATAATTGTTTTAATGAATTTATTAGCTTCATTTAATGTTTATGCGATTTTATCATCATCATTTATAAGATTTTGTCTTACAACCCCATAAAAGTTATTGATAACTTGGTTTCTAAAGGTGTAAATATTGATTCATTTATAAAACATCTCCATTGCAGAATTTTTCGATTGCAATTTTTTAACCACGTTGTAAGGTTGTCCTTATATTAAAACTAGGCCAAAATAAACTTCAGCTAAAATATTACAAAAAATAATTTTAATATTAAATTATAGAATAAAAAATAAGATTTAACAGCTAAATGATTTTTATAGTCTTTCGAGAGCCGGTATTAATGATAGTCATCTTGTTGAAACAATTCATAGAAGTTCGGACCATTAATTTTGAGAATCTATATTTTTATTAACAGATACCCTATTTGTGGATCTGCTGATTTCGGTATAACATTTCCAATTATTTCTATGCCTAATTGATAATGATACATGCCCCTTTCTTCCTGCATTGTAAATTGTAAGGCGCAGGCAACCAAAGGGGAGAATATTTTCATTCAAAACAAATAATTCCGTTATTAAATTTTGCCTTCTTCTGAAATTCCACTTGCGTTATCGCCACAAAAAGCTTTTGATAATGAAAGGTTACAATCTGCACAAGCATAGACGGAATATCCTTCGATTTCTCAGAGCCAATAAAAAAATTTTTGCAAGTTTACTTGAAACACCTCTTTCAAAATAGTGCAACATTACGGGAATGTTTTAGTTTTTCCATTATTTGATGCATCACTTAATGGAGAATGGAGAAAATGGTGATTTTCCTACAAATCCTCTAAGATGTGTTTCTTTTTCTTAGTTTTAGGACCTAGGATATTTAACACTATTTTTGAGGCTTTTGTTCTACATTTTATGCTTTTGACTATTTTTGAATCAGAAAAGAGTATATGCATTAAATTTGTGGCACAATCTGTGATAAATAACTAAGCGAATGTTTTATAGTGTGTTATATGAATTTCATTTTGGTTATTACAGTATTATCATCATATAAATTATTATCGTTGAAGTATGGAATATTATTTGATGATTTCTTATTTTTAAATTGGAAATGGCCTTGTTGAATGTTTTTTCCACACTCCTCCACGGCTGATATTATACAAATTACATTTAGACTTTATGACCCAAAAATAAATGGAATTCCAGTTATTATGATATTGCGATTTAAAAAATTTTTTGGTGTTAGACTTGTTTTTAAACTGTAATTTATATTTGTTTTTTCCTTTCACAAAATCAAGATGCCTTTTTTAAATATATTGACTTAAAATAAAAAATGAAAGGGTAGTTTCTGGCTAAGCTATTTTTAATTATTTTGTATTTTAAAAAATTTATAAATAAAATCAGGAGAAAGAGTAAATCAATGGACGGCGTGTTTTGACGTAAACTAAAGTAAAAAATAGAGAAATTAAGCCAAAACCGGTAGATCTGGCAACCCTGGTTATTGCTCAAAAGTTTCTAACTATGGCAAATCTTGCAAACCATCAGATTCAGCCTTCAGCACAGCTAGTAATATAGTGTTGTTTACCACCTATATTTGAGCGGATTTTTAAAAGCAGCTGACTCAATAATTTGGCAAGAAAAATATCACCTAAACTTCGAAATTTCGATAATAGATATTCAAACCTTTGTACCATCTTCAAAATCTTCAGGCTTGTGGAATATTTTCCTGGATAAAAAAGTAAGTTCCCCGTTTTTATCTATCAACTCAACTCGAGCAGAAGGAAGGAAGCGGACTTGTTTTTATTTTTTATGTATTGTACCAAAAATTTAATATGAATTAATATAGTGTGCTAGTATATAATTTCATATTTCTATTAAGGTTATACTAAATGAAAATTCTGACCATTAGTAAAAAATAACGATATGAATTATGCATATAATTTCTCTAATGGCTATACCTTAATAAGATAACACATTATTTACTATATATCTTATAAATAAAAACCTTTCTACTAATCTAAACACATATTATTAGTATTTTAAAGCTTTAAATTTTTTTTAGTTTTTTAAGAGCCAGGATAAGTGAATATTTTGATTAAAACGCTTTTTAAAAATTTATACACAAATTTTTATTATTCCATTATCTTATATTATATAAAATAATGACAAAAAAATCAATGTAAATATCGGATCAACGAAAAAACTGGATTAGTGCAGTCCTAATTATTTTATTTCACTATTATCCACTTCTTTATATTCAGAATTTGGGATAATAATATATATATTTGGTAATCAACATAATTCTTCTTCGAATAATATTTATAATAGATAACATGAATATCGGGTAAATAACTATTACTATAATAATTTCCCAGGTGAATTTAATTTATTCCAAATGATATCTTTAACTAATATAGCAGCTTCTTCTCTATCATTTTGATCTAAAGGG